AGTAGGAGTGGAAGGGAACACAGATCAGAGTGGCAAAATGGCTTGAGATATGCACACATGAGGGCTTGGTATGTGCAGACTGTGCTGTGGTGAACCAGAAGAGAAGGGACGGACATCCAATCACAGGACTCAACTAAGTTGTTAATACCCAGTGGAAATATATTAGAGCTGTTGGTCCATATAAAGAATAAATTCCCAGGGGATTAATGTCTACCTATAAAATACAAACCTTGACAAAATATAAAAGAATACTGGCATGATCTCTGGGCATGCATAAATAGTGTGCCACCTTAGAGAGCATTCTGCAGTGCCTGTCACAAGATGTGTGTCCCACAGTGTATGCAGATGTGTGTCCCACAGTGCATGCAGATGTGTGTCCCACAGTGCATGCAGATGTGTGTCCCACAGACACTGCAGGTTACCTTGTGGTGACAGGACATTTCTCACTGCAGAATGACAGATGCCCTTTAAAATCCAGAATCACCTGAGATCATCAATGTTAAGGAAAATCAATTGATTTGTATCAAAACAATCAATAAATCTAATGTAGTCAGCCGGGCGGTGGTGGCGCATGCCTTTAATCCCAGCACTCGGGAGGCAGAGGCAGGCGGATCTCTGTGAGTTCGAGGCCAGCCTGGTCTCCAAAGCGAGTTCCAGGAAAGGCACAAAGCTACACAGAGAAACCCTGTCTCGAAAAACCAAAAAAAAAAAAAATGTAGTAAAACATTTTAAAATTGGAAGGACAATATTCAATGGGAAAGTATTAGAGTGTATCACTCCATGTGAAGAATGAATTTCAAGTGGTTTAAAGTCTATCTATGAATGTAAAGTTAGAAATAATGTAGATGAGTACCATTATGTTTTCTGGGCAGTGAAAAATTTCTTAGCAAAGTTATAAGAGCCCAAGTTATAAAGAAAACATTGACATTTATTAATAGTTACAAGTTAGATTACTCTAGTGTCATGACAATGAGTTGAATTACATTTGTGAACATGAAGACTCTCTAAAATAATGCCCAGGGACTCTGAAATAGCTTAGTGGTTAAGTGCTTGCCAAACAAGTTTGAGGACTGGAGTTCGGATCCCCATAATGTCTGCAGATCCTGGGGGAGGTGCATCGCACCTGCAATTCCTGCTTCTTCAGGCCGAGACAGAGGATCCCCAGAGTGAGTTGGCTAGTGAGACTGGCCAGACCAGGGAGCACTGTGTTGAGAGACCCTGCCTCCATGAATAAGGTGGAAGAGCAAAGGTTAACCAGCTTCCATGTGCACCCATGTTTATGCACAGAGGCACATGTGTATATACACACATGGATACTCACCCACATACAAACATTTTAAGACCATCTAGTGTACCTGAGTCTATACATTAATTTCATCCTATTTCTGGAATGTGCTGTGAAGCCTGTGAACCTCCAAATTCATTGCTTCCCTGAATTAATCTGATTTAAACAACTATATGAGCCGATAAAATACCCTAAACTTTGTGTGCATATATGTGTATAAAATATGCGTATATATGTACAGACTTATGTATTCCATATACGCAATGTCTACAAGGTCAGGGAAGATAGAGCATGCTTTCTGGTGTCTCCAGTAGGTAAATGGATGGCAGTGTACACTGCTCCATTAATGAGGCCAAACCTGAGACACATTCGCCTGCTCCATGCCCCATAAAGGGACAGTCATGTTATTTTCTCGCACACAAACTGGATCGGATTCATATGAGAGAAGGGTAGTGGATGTTTAAAGAACTCAAGCCGTCTTGCTCCCCATCATTTGGTCCCTCGCAAGCCTTATTCATTCTTGACTCAGCCCTGTGTTACGATCTCCCACTGCAGCTCTGCAGTACTCTGAGATTTTTAAGGAGGAAGCCCACTTCCCTTGGAAGACTTATCAGCTTTCCTTGAAGAGCCACGGAGACTGATTAAGACTTCATCAATCTGGAGCACTTGTGGTCAGTTTTTCTTGGAAGAGGAGGATGGAGGCAATTATACACAACGCTGAACAGACAGCCAACCCCAAGCTTTTAGAGACCCTCCCAATGGCTTCTCTGACTGGTGTGCTCCTTCAAATGAAGGCTTCATGGAGAGAGGAGGGTGGCCACCTCACTCCTTTATCTCTCCATGGGTAGAGTTATTTCAGAACTTGCCTCCATTTAAATATTCCAGTCAGTCCTTTTGCGCTACAAACCGTGCACCAACCAGAACATCCTTTTTTTCTGCAGAACCCCGTGACTTGGTCCTCTGGCCAAGTGCCAGCCACAGGAACCACAGGAACCTCAGCTTCACTACTATTTTAAAATTAATGTATTTTTATTCTTCAAAACAGATGCTTCTGAGCCTTTATGACACTAGTGTTTGAGTCAGTATATCACCAAGTGAATATTAAATTATAGTACTATAAACTCCAGGGAAATTTTATTAATGTTTTTTAATGTAGGCTCATGTGACGTCAACATGTTTTGTAGATATTCATAAATCTAGACTTTAAAAATCTTCAGTTTTAGGGTGCTATGGATGTTGTCATGTGTAGAGAATCCATAATTGTGAAACAGTGCTCTTGAATTTTCATATACTCCTGATAACCATCAGCTCTTTCATATGCTAATTATAGTGGTATTAAAAACACACAAGTAATATTTTTTGCAGCTCAATTGCTTTGGGCCAAAGGAATTATTTCCAGAATAAGCTGGCAGGTTCCTGCTTGGGGAATTAGGACTCTCATGTCCTTAACTTTAAAATAACTTGCATTTCATTTTATGCTTGCTTCATAAAGTAGTCATTCATTTTCCGACTAGATTGCAACCAAGGCAGACCACATCAATAGAGGCCGGCCTGTGGGTTGAGTGTGTGTTAGGCTGGAGGACGTGAAGTAGAATGCTAAAAATGGCGGCCTGGTGGCTGATTTATAAAGCAAACTGAGCCCTAATGCCCTGGTATCTTTATATCTACATCCTAGTCCACAGTGAGTTCACCACAGAATTTGTGGATGAAGGAGAAAGTTCAACATAGTGATTTATGTTTGGAGAATTCTTGGAATGAAATTCTTGTTTCCTGTTGTCACTTTGAAGCACTTGCAGTGGGGTTTGTGGGAGGGGTGCACTTGGTTTTTAGGTTTAGAGTTTTGGGCTCTGTTAACGCAAGTGACTCCTGGACATAATGGGTGACAGCTGGGTGTGGACTTGGCTATGTAGCCTACAGAGCTGGCTTGAGACACAGTCATGAGACAACTTGATGCTTTTCTCCTCTTTTAGTTTAAATTTCTATTTGAAAACCTTTTTTATTTCAATTGGTAAAATTAAATAATTATTAAAATTCATGTGAGAAATATTTCTGAATTTTTAAATCAGTTTTTTTTTAAAGTTTCTGTTCCTTGTGTGCTCCAAGAGTTTTTATTTCTTGGTATTTCTACTAATTCAGATTTTCTACTGAGCCATTTCCCTTTAATTGTTCTTTCTCCTTGAAATTAGGAAAATTGATGGAGTAAAATAAAAATAAACTATAGGAAAAATGTTTTTGAAAATGAATAGTCAATGGGAAGTATCAGAGGATGTCAGTCCACGAAAGAGTCAGTTCTAAGTGGATTAAAGCTTTTTAGGGCTGTCAGTTGGCATGACTTGGAAAGCATTTGGATGTCACTTCCCCGACCCAGCAGCCACCTCCCTAAAATGACCGGAGTAATTGAAATCATCACCCTTTCACCCTGTTATTTGTTTTCCTGTCCTCCACATGAAAAGGACAGTGGTGGAAGCCTGGCAGAGGAATGCCTTCTACACCAGGCGGCTGTGGTTTCCCCAGAAGAGTGCAGTCTTCCAGCCCAGTGTGGCTTTTCTGCCAGCCTCCCAGCTCGGTGCTTCTTGAATCCTTAAAATGTGGTATCCTCTCATGAAGACTGTAGCAAACCTCAATAGTAGACTCATGACAAGTGAACTGATGAGGAGGTGTAGTCACAGAGTATGAGGATTTAGCCAACCCATGACCATAATGTGGGAAGTTGTTCTAAACCACAAGTTCAGAAGGAGCAACTACTGGGTTCATGGTCTGTCTTCAGATTCAAGCGTTTAGAAGCATTAGGGGCCATGCTTTGGGAGGCAGCCATGACCCTGCTCTTTTTACTCCAAAATTTGGTTTTCCCAAAGCCTTCTAAATCCAGCTAAGGATGTCACCTCCCAGGGAGGGATACATGCTGTAAGGGAACAGAAAGTTTAAGGCTAGCTGAACATGGTGACATATGCCTGTAATCCCAGCACTTGAGAAGCAGAGATAGGAATATCATCACAGGTTAAAGGCCAACCAGGGATACATAGCCCTGTCTACAAACAAACAAACAAAAAGTGAAGGTTGTGCGAAGTGTAAATGGAGAGGTGTGAGTTTAGGATGGCAAAGAAAGAAAACCGAGGATCAGTAATAGAAGCACCCCCATGAACTGCGCAAGACAGCACAAGCCTTCATTCCAATACTTGGTGAGTTAGAGGATGGACTGGGCCACATAGCCAGTTCCAGGCTAGCCGGGAGCTAAATGGCAAGACCTTGTCTCAAAAGACACAATAAGCAAACCAACCAAACACACACACACACACACACACACACACACACACACACACACGAAGTGTATCAGATCCAATAATATACAAAATAATCATTACAGAAGAAATAATGTAGAGAGACATTTATAGATTTCTTTGGAACACACACACACACACACACACACACACACACACACACACCATAATTTCAGAGATTATGTAGACCCTAGGGTAAGATAAAAGCTAGTTGATCATTATGTCATTCACTGAAGAATTCACCTTCTATTTTATGGACACTTCCTTGAGATGTTTTTGGTTCCCTGATCCTTGGAAATTTGTTTCTTCAGAGTTTAAACTTAGATTCTTTGCAGTAGTTCACACTACCAAAATTTTATAGGAAACAAGTACCTTGTCTTTGCATCATTTTAATGCGTGCCACCTCTATAAAAGCCATTGTTTCCTTCCTCCTTTAGAAACTGCGAAGGACAGAACATCAGATACAAGACATGCAGCAATCACGTAAGTCTGAGAATATGTAATCCAATTAAAGCCTGTCTTAGAGTGTTTATCATGTACTGTGAGACCGATAGTGTCTCGAGAACCCTTCTGATAATTTTAAATACTTGCTTAGCTAATGACAGTCTTTGTATATAAGTATCTTGCATCCACAGTGCCCTTTTAGGGCCATTTCACATTTATGATGGAACTTGGTAAGTATGTAATTATGACTCCATTCATACAAGTGATATATTCAGTAGCTTCAAGGTCCTTCAGGGCTCCAAGTGTTTTGTGTCAGTATCTCACCCAGCCTCTTCCACAACGTCTGGACACACAGACGCATGGAGAGGGATGAGACTGAGATCTGGACACACAGACACATGGAGAGGGATGAGACTGAGGGATGAACACACAGACACATGGAGAGGGATGAGACTGAGGGATGAACACACAGACACATGGAGAGGGATGAGACTGAGGGATGAACACACAGACACATAGAGAGGGATGAGACTGAGATCTGGACACACAGACACATGGAGAGGGATGAGACTGAGATCTGGACACACAGACACATGGAGAGGGATGAGACTGAGGGATGAACACACAGACACATGGAGAGGGACTGAGGCTGAGGGATGGACACACAGACACATGGAGAGGGATGAGGCTGAGGGATG